TGATGTCGTTTAGAAGGACGATGAAAGCTCCACGACCCAACCACCCAGCTCAGAGAACAAACCCACATCAAAATCACCCACCTGAGCTACAAATCTTTTATACCATCTCATAACAGAAAATATTCTAACAATAAATGATATCAACTTAAAAGTTTATGAGAATAAATGAATGATGGTTAGCAGTTGGATCCAGTACGCACAGCTGGATGTACCTGCATCTTATATTTGGTGTCCACTCATGTATTCGAAACCAGTACTGTTTGCTTCAAATGACATCACCTTATTCCCTAAGCTACTGAGTTCGGAATAGACACCAGCTAATGCAATGAGGTCAAGTTTAATTCATTTTTGTATTGCTTGTTTGAATCTGGACATTGATGTTTAGGACTGCATATGTACATCCAATACGGAGTGCCTCGATATTACATTAAGTTACTTAACGCAAAAGTTTATATATAATGTTACTGAATAAATACGTGTACTCCTTCATAATAATCATACAAAGGTTCAACTTCCTACATATGATGAGTTTATAGATTATTTTTAAATAGTGTTTTAAGTTATTCTATAATTAAATACCCTTCCCAAGTATTTCAGACGAATACTTATTACCACACTGCATTAGTGATATTGTAGTGCCGCGATTCGTCAACCGTTTACTTCGATAACCGTTAGAATTCTAAACTTAACGGTGCGTAAAATCAGAAGATAAAGGATAGCAGCAACTACAGTTTATTGTCGAATAACTCAGGTCAGAAAGTTAGCAACACCTGAGCGAATAATAACGAGCGAGTGAACAGGCGAATAAGCGAAGGAAGCGAACGAGGCGAAAATGACATGCATGGGAGATGGCTGGGAAGCCAACTCGATTTAAGTAAGCGTTAATCAACATTTATAGTCGGACAAAAATGAGTTACAGACATATGATGAATAAGATACGAAGTGTACACATAAATGCTCATATAAAAGTATAGTCAAGGTTTATAAACAAATGATTAACAAGATCAAAACATGACTCAATGTATAGGTGGATTGGCTAGGCCAGTAACTAGAATAAAGTATATGGGCTCAACATATGAACCGATACTACATAGCCCCCTTGTAGAAAATAGCACATTTATAAAAAAATGTCTGTTTTCGAAAAATAGCACTGAAGCGGTATGTAAATAGTGTTAACATGTAGGGAAAAAATTGTACAATACCTGATAAATTACAGTGTCATTTGAGGGGTGAGCGTATCATACAAAAGTGTCACACTTATGTGAAAATGTACATGAAAATTGTCAAAATGAGGACAAAAATTGAAATGCTAGGATGTGATTATGAGTACATTAGTAAGCGTACGAAAAAAAACTTAACATGCATTTATGTAGTGACTGTCCGAATGATAAAATAACATGTTCTTATGACCGATTCGAAATATCTTGAAAATAGAGTAATAAATTGTTTATGGATATGACAGCCGAATAAATCGTGGAAATAAGTTATGTAGAATATAATAGAAATTGGTCTGTAGTGCCAATTGAATATGAGAATGAAGAACAGTGAAATATGATGTTCTGATAAGCTGCAGTCGAGTAAATAGAGTCGCTTAGCGATGAGTGTATTCGAATTTACATAACTGAAGTTTATGTGGGATAAGAAGTAATCCAGCCGTAGGAAGATGACTGCATCAACAGGTGGTATTCATTGCTGTACTGCAATTGATTATGATAATAAAATGCGAAGTCAGTGTGCGTTGTCGCTTTCGTTGAGTTATCCTTAAATATGTATTAGTAGAATGACCGGAGGAACAGAATAGTGACTGCTGAAACGAGATATGCGGAGTCGGATTCCTTTATGGTCATGCAGCCTAGCGTGGTCTGTGTAGTTAGAGGGATATGCGCTCAACCTCGTTTGTTACGAAACCGTATTAAGGCATGATAAAAATACCAGTACATATAATTATCGATGACGGCGAGTAAGACTGACTTGAATGTGACGAACAAGAGTATATCTTTGAGAGACCAGCTCTAAACTCTATGTTCTTGTATACCATGCAATGGAAATAGAATACTAATTGCAGTAATCAAATATTTTTGATGCGTAATAGATGATGCAGCATTCAGATTTACATGTCGATGAACAGATAATATGAACATAATCATTACTAATCGGCTGGTAATGCGGCGTCAAATACTTGATTTGTGTATAGACATTAAAGTAGGGATCATCGTAAAACAAAAATTGCGAAAGTTCGGTTTACGTTGTCGCTGAAAATATAAAAAATGACGATTGCTGCGTACCAATGGGATGAATGGACATTAGTGGTATCGAGAACATAAGTTCCTACTATCGGGAGTATGACTCCAAACTTATGTATATGATAGAGTGTAATATTAGACCGAAAATGACATGAAAAAGATTGGAACGAACTCACCCGAATCAGGAAAAATTTCGTCATTGGATAATAAAAATAATCCAGTTAGTTTCGAATATCATAACGTGTAATGTCCATATAATTATAATTTGTTCGATTAGTGATTCGACTGCGTAAATGTCATAATTTATCGTCCTTACGAACAAAAATAATAATTCCACGTTAGATGATGATATGACATTATTGTAATAATGAGCATGTGATGATTATTCGAATCGTAACGGAATATGTCGTCGGCGGTTCCATTTTTGATATGTGTTCGCTCGTTGCGGTCGCCAATTCCGCTGCGTGTTCCAAATACGGCTTGCCAATTATGTTGTAAGTTCGTACGTAGAGGTTGTCGATTCTGGTCCGTGTTCGTTCGGCGAGGCATTTAATTCTGTTGTGGCGTAAATCTGATTCCTTTTTGATCGTATGAATGATAGTTTGTTGTCAAAATATACGTACTGTCTATCCTCGTATGTAATAAATGACTTTATTCCGCGTTGGTGAACAACGTAGTTAAATACGTCAAATACGAGAATGGATTTAGAATACATATAATTTCTACACTCATTGGTCTGGCCAGGGAATCAGAGTGATGAGGCGAATAGATGAGAGCGGAACGAAGCAAAGATCATGCGCAATGGAGATGGCTGGGAAGCCAACTCGGTTTAAGTAAGCGTTAATCAACATTTATAGTCGGACAAAAATGAGTTACAGACATATGATGAATAAGATACGAAGTGTACACATAAATGCTCATATAAAAGTATAGTCAAGGTTTATAAACAAATGATTAACAAGATCAAAATATGACTCAATGTATAGGTGGATTGGCTAGGCCAGTAACTAGAATAAAGTATATGGGCTTAACATATGAACCGAAACTACAATATTTCCAATAAGAGAAATCATCAGACTGACTATTCAAAGTATGACCACTAACTTTTATAAAATACTTCAAACACATTAACACTTTCCTGTTATAATCATCTCATATGACAGTGTAGGAAGTATCCCAAATTCAACTCGCTTCACCTATCAGTTAATCGGTATAAAGTACGCATGATTTGAATGGTGTCATACTACATTACTATGATGTTGATAAGTTTGAATGAGACTTTTAAAAAATTATATCATATGGAGGGCGAAATTATGATAGACGCAGGTATACAAAACATAAATTGTATTACGAATATACACACAAAGTTTCATTTATATTAAGTGGACAGAAAACGGCATTTTTATTAGTCGAATGGATATAACTAGTCAAATGATATTCATAACCATTTACATTTAGTAAACAACTTGTTCTCTGAAAACCGAATCTCTTATTAAGAGTTTCCGAAATAAAATTAATTTAGCCTGCTGAAAAAGCATAATGTAGATCGTTTAATCATAAAGCTTTTATTTTCTTCCTTGACAATATAATCCTGATATACTTCAGAAGCTGTGAGAATTTCACCAGGAGTGATTAACAGGTTGTTCTATTGAAATCAGATCTGAATGGTCATGTTCACAGTTGTACCGTCATTGTTTGTACACTTTTTAATTGCCATCGAAAATAATCAGAAATTCAACGTCACAGTTGTTTATCCTTCATTTACTGGTTGGTAAATAATACCTTTGTTTATTTGGTTATAAGGAACACCAATGTTTTCAGCTTATGCAATACTTCTGCAATTATCGGTGATCTTGATAAAATTTTATACGCCTGTTTGTGTATCTTATCATTAATATGGAAATATTTTATTAAACTACAGTCAACCAGCTCAGTTGCGCTTTGATTGAGAAGTTCGATATGCTCTTAGAGATTCATATAATTGTTAAGAAACGGAGATATAATGTATTTCGCCTTCTGTGATTCAAGTGGTTCGATTAAAGTCGTAACGTTGACTTGCGCTCGGAGATTTGAACATGTTTGTTCTTATTCAAAATTGCCATTTAAGAATTAAGAGAGTTATCTACCATATGAAAACACCAGATACTGAGTTGTTCCTGAAACTTCTCTCGAGATGTTCTATTTTGAGAGTCCTTGGAATTAAGATTGCTGGTTACAAAGGGATGTTGGGCTCGTGCTATTTCAGCCAGCCACAAAACTGAATAAGGACATTTTCATTGGATGTCATTCCCTATTATTCTTTTCTAGGCAGATTTCTTGTTTTGACGAGTCTTTAAAGGATCATATTGTTTCTGCAGTTTCTGGTTAGGATTTGTTTTTGTTAGTTGGTAAACAATCTATTTTTAAGTCGCTTCTCAGTCATCCCATTGTAGTTTTGAGAAGTATTCAATTAAAATTTTGTACTGTAATTACATAGCAAGGATTGAATCAGTCATCCTGATTTGCATTATAAGCGTCAGGCTAATCTTCAATAAGTAATATGTGTGGATGGATAACAACAATAATGTATGTATCAACGTGTTCACGATAATTTTATTACATATTTCTGATAGTGGTTTCGCTTCCCCTATTTTTACAATATGTAACCTTCCTTTGTTTAGCAAGATGGTAATTTGTAACACAAGCATTTCAATACAATTTTTGATGCTTACACAAATATAAACAATTGTTCGAATATGTATTTCTTAATTTTTTCAGACCTGAGCACTACTTTTTATCAAAAAGTCATCTCTTCTTTGCAATAATCATCTTGGGAGTTATACAAATTGCTTATTCACAAAAAAACTTGGAAATTTTTCGCTTTCAAATTGCTCAGTGTTCAACAATGACAACAACACTAGGTGCAAACTTAAGCTACTGTTTATTTTGCGTTCAAAATTATAGAGAAGAATGTAATGATTTATGTGCATCCCAGGAAGTGGATCAAGAAATCTGTAGTCGAATATGTTGGCGTTTTGCTAAATACGGAACGTTTTCATGTAAAAACAATGTTGGATAGCATTAGGCAAGTTTATAATCTCAAAGAAGTGAAACATGTATTCTATTCAATTAAAGCCAAAATAAACAAACTATTCATCATATAACTGATCTAAACAAAAGTGAATAAAAATCTTATAAAATGCTGTAAATTAACCACTCAATTGTTCAATAAGATAATTTTCTTAGTGCGTTAGCATTTATTCACTGAACACAAAGGGTTTTCAAAAAATAATTCAGTTAGTTCGTGGACATTTCATTACTCCCTGTTTATTTTGCTTGACAATTCTAGAAGGTTTGTAATTAAGAAAATAAAATGGGACCTTCTTTCCGCTAGATCATCCATTTTATTTGTAGATATTGGAGCACTGATATTGATGAGTAAATATCAACAGTGTGAAGTATAAAAGTATTTTACCGGCTATATACAGGATTACGTAACGATGACCTAAAATTTACTTGAAAGTATAATTGTTTATCCTTAACTTTACATCTTAAGTGCAGGTATGCAGTAGTACTTAAAAATGCGCACAAGCTGATAACGGTTTCGTCCCAATTTTCCACAGAAATATATGTTATACTAATTATTTAACAATAATTACATCAGAGTTGGGAAGACTGCAAGCTACAAAATCATTTAGAGTTGTACGTAAAAGAGGCCATAAGGGAGAGAAGATGGAAAAATTCATAGGAAACTTTGATACCGTACGTTTAAACCCTAGAAAACATCATGATAAAGATGCTGTGTCGTGGTTTAATTTCATCCTAACTGACTGCACAGATAGGTTCAGTATTTCTGCTTTTTTACAACGTAGAAATTTCAGTGTCCGAATCAAAACTGACTGAAAGCTCTATTTTCTTCTGATCTTCAGGAAGCTAGTCACTATATATAGATGGGATTAACAGACCATCAAGTCTAAAACAGCCATAAATAAATGACTTAGACATGAAACATTTACCGAATTCTAGACGTCATCGGCATACAATAAATTTTACAATCTGAAAATTTTTGAGCGTAGAATATTTAGATATTCATGTTTAACTAGTATTTGTAAATAACTTGTTTGTACATGAACCTCAGTGTATCAGAATGCGAATTGCAACTTAGAGACATAAATCTATTTACAGTTTGACTCTTTATGGCATGCGATGTAATACCTGATGACACTCTACTAATGTAAACCTCTACAGCTGGATTCATATAATCGACAAAGGGAAGGTTTTTTTTATCACTGTTGACCGGATAAATAAACGTCAAATTTATAGAACAATACTGTATATCGGTATCTTAGTTAAAATCACTTTGGTATTTTGTATATACTCTCCATCTGACATATTCGTGTTAATATACCTCTTCGATAGAAAAAACAGTGCACATCTTTGTAGCAAACTATTTTTATCCAATGTTTGGGAAAAAGTAACGTAATAACAGTAGATTTGAATTAGTTTCGATTTTTACTTCGTACAATATTTTATTAGTAACCAATATCTGAAGTAAATAGACTGACCTCATAAACCGGATTATAAGCGACGAATACATTGAATTATGTAGTCTGTTAATGAGGAAATCAATATATTTGAAACTACATATAGATATAAACTCTTCGTCTGTATAACCGTAAACATTCGATACACATGATGAGCTGGTAATTGGCAAATCGCTTTCAGCAATCCCTTTCCTGTCCATTAATTAGTATAAACTAAAAACGAAAGTTGATATAAACGCTAACAAAGATTGACAATAACTAAGTATACTATTTCTCTTGGACACTAGATATCATTTGATGGGGAAATAAAAGTAGTAAGAAGAAATCAAAAATAAGTATTTTATATTTACAAGGAATTACTTTTTTGAAATAAGATACTGCAGGACCCAGTAACCTACACTGATATAAAATATAAATAGAAAGTAAATATCCCTATAGTCAATATATATTGTACTTAGACGAAGGGAACAAATTATGATATTTTGTTTTTCTGAAAAGGACATTTTGAGATTTTTCGGAACTTAAATTCGCTAGATAAAACAAACAATTTGTCTTCCCTCCCCGTTTTTACCCTCCTCTACAAAATAGTTGAATTTTGGCTGCTCTAACTGTAATTCATTGCCATCTATTTGAAATAAACAAGCTCGACCTTTCAAGTGTCAAAAATCTATCCCGTTTTCAGGCATCGTTATAAACTCAAACTTCCTTATTACATCATAAAGTAATACAGTGTACTGATGCTTGGACAATTCTGATATATACAGGACACTCATAACAATTGATATTTAAGTTGTGAGTCCCAAATATATGAGTCTACTCTCCTATTCTTAGAGTGTTTTTTTAAATTTCAATGTTACTTGAATGATTTTCTGATGACATGTAGAACTAGCATGTAAATCGAATTTGAATTCAGCCATTTCTCTGTAATAATTTCCCTTCATAACAATTAGTTTTAGTGATCTAAGTCATATACACTTCTTTTACTGTAAAATAATATCCCTCTTCAAACAATAAGTGAACCTGTGCAACCCAATAGATTTATCTGAGAATATGAGACTATTATTGCATATACATCATAAGTAATTCAGTTGTCTAAATATTCCTTTACTATGGGTGAATACAAAGGCATGTACTTGACCGAAAACATGGTGCTCAGTAAGAACAAAAGTTATTATAGTGTTTGCGGAAAATGTTTTCAAAGTTTGTTCAACATCGACTAAATTTTTAAGCTTCATGCAATGCCATTTATGAAAAATGTTGAAAAACAGTAACGTTTTAGTAAATATCTTACATAGGGTACGCTAAATATGACATGTTTCGGAATACTAGGAAGTTTCAGTTAAACAGTTATATCAGAACCAATGTTATATTCTGAACCTTTAGGTTTGGAATTAAATCTTAATATTTAATATGTAGTAAAAAAATAACTATTAAGTGATACTCATAAAATTAAAATGACCATAATTGAACTAGATGTTTTATGCCACATGGTTTCCAAGTGTAATATATAAGCAGTTGTATAATCCAGGTGATGTATTAAGCTTCAATGAAACACATAATAACAGTAGTTAACACGCATATCTGCAAAACTAACTGTTTACGACAACTTCATAAACATTGATGTTCACATTCTACCACACAGCGATTCACATGACATCACCATTGTCGTATAAAAAAGCAATTTGAGGGTAGGCAATAACCTGATTGCATGATATATGTTGTCATTTTAAAAACAAGTTAACGTCTGTTGTGGTTTTACATTCTTTGGGTATCATAATCAAAGACTTCAATTAAAAATTCATCTGTAACCGACGGAGATTCAAATAGTAATGAGAGCTGCTTGCTATATAGTTATTTATCAAATTCACTGTAGATATTTCAAATTTCAGGAGTCATAATATACAAGCCTGAGCCCCGGAGTACTCTACAAAAACGTTGTAGTAATACTATAATAGATAACTGAAATAACGATGATTAACTTTTCTCCTGATATTTAGTGCACGCAATCTCTTAGCCATGTAACTGAATTAATTGATCAGATTAGTACCACTCTGAAAACTTTATACAATACTACTACATAAATGAACTACTTCAAAACTTTATTACCAGCCATTCACTTATAAGGTTTCAGTGTTTCGGGCGATCACGTTCGGTTTTATGATTTCAACCGAGCAGACTTTCAGTGACACGCATGATACATAATGCAGATCTGATCTAGGTGTTGTAATTTTTATCTTTCACTAAAGGATTTTCAGGAAATGATGAAAAAGGATATAAACAAGAACAACTTACACTCCCACAGGTATCCATTTTTTAAACTGATTATTATGCTAAATCGAAATCCCAATCCAATCATGAATGTACAGTCGCTTAAACATTATGTAATGAAGGACAGTTCGATTATTATATGATGAATAGCGCTAAGAAATACTCTTGTTTCCCCTAATTCTCATCGTAGTTGTGATGTAAATGTGGTTCACTTTACTACTAAGTGCACTAAACTTCATATCCGAAAGTCTTTGGTCCAATAAATCAATCAAAATAAAACTTAACTACTGTTCAGTGTTCTCTAATGTTAACTGAGTGGAATGTTCAAAACACAAAATAATTTTCATTTCCTAATCTTCTTTTCACAATATACTTATTTTTCCTCTTCGTTACTAGTTAGTTTTTTATCAGATTAGTCGTCAGCCAAGTTATTGAGCTATTTAATTATGAAATGTGAAGTAATGTAATCACTTAAGTGATTGTGCTATTTTCAACCAGTCGAGATCATACTCGACTAAACTCAAAACATGATATGCTAGTCACAGTTAATCTTAATACATTATATAACCTATTTCTAGATGCTGAAAATAATTACAGAACACAATAGCTTCTTACTGACAAACCGTGTGTAGGCTTATTATTGATCGATAAAGCGCGATCTATTTTAGGTTATTTACGAGATCAGTTTCTTTGATTTTCTCTTATTTCGTACCTTAGATGCTTTTCTAATAACTCCATGATAAGATTTCAAAGTAATCAAAAGTCATTAATACGTTTTCGCAATTGTTTGTAAGAAATCCGTTAAAACCAGACAAGGGTACTACGAAAACCCTGAAAAACACGTTTAATGCACTTGATGGTACAGTGATATGGTATGAATACAGACTACTTTGTGCAGTAATTATTAACCAGAAAGTGATAGTTTTTCAAACTGTATAAAATTAATTTCAGTCAAAAATAAGAAAATGAAATCTTACGAAATCAGATAATCGCATACTACAAAACATTTCAAGTATTCAAATGGACACACTTAACTAAAAAAACATCCATATTGTTTAAACCACTGAATCTGATAAAGCACATACTTAGAGAATGTAGAGTTTGTAAGGTTTTTCCAGGTCATCAGCTTTTTAAGTATTTATCGGCATTCATTTGCATAAATTATTCAAGTGAACACAGATAAGTGTAATACTTACTTATTAGTAGACACTTATGGAGCGAAATGTTCTACATACAAACGGTAAATAAGTTCAAGTTCTCTACTGCTCATTATTTATCTTATCATATTCAACTTAAACTGGCGAATAATTTTGATCACTGCTTTTTTTTATAAAAAATCTGTCATCTGCTAGAACTCAAAACGGAAACTCTCTTTTCGGCTTAGAACTAACGTTTGAACGACTAATACATTTTACAGCGGGGACTTTAAGTTTATA